AAGAGAAAGAGGAAGATTTGGGGGTAGAAGCTATAGGTTTTGGAGGCTGATTAAACTGGAGGGGGCTGGAATGAGGGGGAGACAGAGCCTGGTTGGTTAATAATGATTATAGTAAAAATGCTGATGAAACAAAAAACAACCCAGGGAGGTGGGCATTATTATCCCTATTTTATTAGGCGATGAGATGGAGAATTAAAGTCCTACAGTGAGTAAGGGCCCAGGGCTGCGAGCGCTTGAACCAAACCCAGGTCTGTCTCACTCCAAAGCCAAGATCCCAGTGGCTAAGTAGCTAAAGGGTGTGAACAGGCAGTTCGCACAAGATTAAATACGAACAGTAAAGCTTGAGACGCTTGTAACTAGAGAGGCTAATAGACACCAAGGACATCTTCTCAGTTATAATAAAAAACAACCCTGAAAGTACTCAGTGCTGGCCATTTTCTGAATGAGCTGGCTTACAACACACATTTCTGGGAGCCGAGAAAGCTGGAGCAGCCTTTTGAGAAGGAAATTAGATAGAGATACCAGGAGTTTGAGGATGTGCTTTGGGGAGCCTTCCCGAAGAATTGCACTTACTTCGTAAAATGATTTAATTTTTAGGGCGGGTCATCAAAAACCGTGTTTTCTTTTTTTTTCTCTTCTTTCTCTTTCCTCCTCCTCTTCCTCCTTCTCCTCCTTCCCCCCTCTCTTCTTCCCTGTGAAGACGTGAGGATGGATGCAAGGCTTGGAGAGGTGAGAGACCTGCCCAGGACCGCACAGCTGGGGGGCAGGGGGCAGAAGCCTCTTGATGACGGGTCCTGTGCCCTCCTCACTGTCCTGAACCTGGAAGGCTGTGCTGGTGGGGGCAGGGAAGCAGGGGTTCCCACTGACATGCCACCCTGTTTTGACAGTCCATGCCCTGCTGTCCCGAGCGTTCTGGGGTGGGGAGCAGGGCGGCAGCAACTCTCCAGGCCTCAGTGCCGTCTCTTCAGTTTGTCAGGTGTGCCTATGTCATCATCCTCATGGCGATTTACTGGTGCACAGAAGTCATCCCTCTGGCTGTCACTGCCCTCATGCCTGCCTTGTTTTTCCCGCTCTTCAAGATTCTGGACTCCAAACAGGTGAGCAGCCCCAGGGCATCCGGGCGGCTTCCTGCTTCTCTCCCAGTGGCTCCTTTTCCGAGCCCTTCTCTGAGCTGCCTAGGACCCAGGGGACCAGATAATACCCTGTTTGTGGGCTCTCTCTGGCACAGAGACATACCCTTGATCCTCCATCCCCATTCCGAGCTGCCCTGAAGTCAGCATCTGCTCAGCTCGCCTATCTCTGGGGACTTGGGTGACCCTGAGCCCAAGTAGTGTGTGGTCAGGGGGCAGGCCTGATGGGGCCTCCATGCCATCCTGCAGGTGTGCGTCCAGTACATGAAGGACACCAACATGCTGTTCCTGGGCGGCCTCATCGTGGCTGTGGCCGTGGAGCACTGGAACCTGCATAAGAGGATCGCCCTGCGCACGCTCCTCTGGGTGGGGGCCAAGCCTGCCCAGTAATTACCCCTTCTCTCTCTTACCGCAGGGCTCTGCAGTAGGCCCCAGGGCCAGGGAGGGGCGTGTGGAACAGGCCAGATCACCCACAGGCAAGGATTAGCCATGGCCTTACCTGGGCTTTGCAGCCAGGCAGACCCCTGGGTGGGTGGAAGCCGGATCAAGCCATGCCTGATACCCCTAGGGGCTTTGT